GGCTTGGCTCAAATTCACCGAGGAATAAATCTTCCAAGCTCAATTCACAGATAAGGTGTATAAATGTTTATTTACATTCTCAATAAAACAAATACAGCAGCACAATTGTGGCCAAACTTCATTAGCTCGGCTCCTGAATCTGCAGGCTTCCACAGGTACTGGGTAATAAATGCACAGGTCCCATAGGGAAACACTGCTGCAGTCGCTACCTTGGCATCGGTTTTCTGCAATTTGGTCGGGGGCACAGCACGCAGAATTTTAGTGCCCATCCATTATAAATGAACTGAGAACTTTCGACTGTGTTTGTTTGTAAATTTGTGCACGCTTTTAATCCATTATGAATGATGTGGGACTATTAGAGGTTTTGTTTGGATCTTTTGTTTTGTGCCGCATGTGAATATTACAATATTCTTAGGGTTTTGCTTCAAAGACTTTACCTTTTTTTGTTGTCGTTTTAAGCCCCTCCAACTCACTCCCCCCCAACAATAAATGATGTTAACTAACACAACTCAATACAACTATTGATTTCCTCTTTTTTCCTCAGCTGATTTCACATAGTCACACTGTTCTACAGATTACTCTCTGTTCGCCAATACATCAACAGCAATTTGTAGGACAATTTTCTGCTGTACAGCCAGTACATCTGTTCTCTCTTCTACCTTTATTGCTCACCTATTTGTTCATCCATTAAGGCAGAAAACCAGTGTTACTTGGAAATGTGAATGTTATTTTTGCTGCTCTAACTGACTCACACTTGCATCATCGCCAAGTGCCACGTACAGTGGGGTGTAACAGGCTGTGCACAGGCTTCACACTGACCTGTCACACTCTGTACGGTGATAATTTTATATCTCTTCCTCCATATTGCCAACACTACATGAACTGAACAAAGTATCAGGATCATCTCACTCAGACCAGCTGTAAGTGACTCAAGACATCTTTCCTTAAAATCATTCTTTACACGTGGCATCAGAGGATTTAAGTGAAGTTATTTATACTTCAGTGGGCAGTAGAAAATTCAAGGGAACGACACAAAGATTTACGACAGATTTTATAATTCCAAAGGTATCTGATTTTAACAACTTCAACATTATAAAGGATATAGCTCGCTGTGCGCTTCAGGGATTTTTGACTGGTTTTATCATAATATCTATGTCAAGCACTGAGTTCAGTTAACATCATAATGACAAACAAGCACACTTTTAGGGCTCTTTACATTAAAAAAACAAAAACTGCTTCCACACTCTCTCTATTCTCCAAATCAAACATTTTACATGAAGTTGATTCCTTACATCACACAGAAAACTTCAGGAAGTAAAATTACATAAATGTTGACTTTGTTTTGACAAATATATATGATCATGTATTTATCATATTTTTAATAATAATATTGAAACTGCAGGTTTTAGCCATTTTTTTATCTAAATTTTGGTTTTCTTTTGGCTAATTAGTACTCAGTACAACAATGACTTAAGGCATCATTTAAAAAGTACAGTTTCTATATTGTAATGAAAAAATGCCTTTTTTTTTTGCTTTTTTTAGAAACAAGTTAACAATAATTTATCCACTTCACTCTGAAGCTGAATGGTTCTTAATGGACTTAAATCTCTCTGCTAATTATTATGATGCAATTCCCTACTGTAGTCAATGTAACAGGGGTGCAGAACCAGCTGTGGTTGTGTGAGTATTACTCAGTTTTATGCAAAACAGATTTCCACAGGACATGTACTTCAGGACAAGAAAACAGAATGAAAATCAAGGGGAAAGTGGGACAGGGAGGTGTCACAGTAAGAGGGAGGTTTTTTCAAGTTTTAGAATCGTGTGAGGAAGTGATGGCGTTGGCGAATGGTGACATCAGCCGTATCAGATTTTGCCTGTCATCAGTGCCAGGAGCACTAATAGATCTTTGAGCCTTTATCTTTTAGTCAGGATAGATTGTTTCGTCTAGTGTAGACAAAAACAAACTCCTGCAGGAGAGGCCTGTACGCATAACAGAATTTAAAAAACGTTCTATTATTGCCACAAACAAACACCTGAGTATGATTTTTGGCGCAGCTGCTGCCATTTACCTTTCACGTCACTGTGATTAATGGAATGGGCGGCAGCATTTGTTCATGGCTTCAATGGGTTTGTGTGAATCGATAAGAGCTAATGTGAATTCATGGGAGGCGTAGCTGGGAAGAAGTTTATTAACAACATGGACTTGTACAGGACTTCAGTCTCCTGTCTAGTTGTTTGTGTTATCAGTTTGGACTCCTATCGGCCGTTGTTAAAGCCGTTTTTGATACCAGAAGTGCACATAGGGAACAAAGTCAGAGCCTAACGAGTCAGAAACTCATTGTGCAAAAGTCTTGTGTGAAAAGCGTTTATAACTATACAGTGAGGCAGTCTTTCTGCATCGCTTGTGAGTTGAATGCCAGTATGAATGTTAAGACGTGATTTGCTGACGTTTTCAGAAAAACACGCCCGGTTAACATGCAGCAGGCCCTCCTCTAAGCATCATTTATCTTCGAAATGTGCTGACCCAAACCTTCTCCTCCACTCAAAAGACACACTTACACACAAGAGAGTGAAAGGAACATGCAGAGTGAATAAAGCCCAGCCTCGACGTGGAGCTCAGAGGTTAAAATCCCACACCGGCTCAACAAATCCTCCCGGATATGGGACATTAACCCTGAGTTCATGATTAAAGAACAGTGCAGTACAGCAGTGGAGCAATGTAAAGCACAATGATTGAGAGGGGGGTTGGTTGGCTAATAATTTGATACTTGCTCTTATTTTAAAATTGTTCTTTTTTTAAAGGGTGCTAGATGTTTGACAAAGATATAAATATAAAATGTGTCAAGGCTCTTGGGAGACGACTGGGAGATGCATCTTAACAGGTTTATTTAATAAAATCTGACAATTCTGAAAATTTTAAGATATTTCTTGGAACCTTTTCAGCTCCAGATTTACATAAAATCCTCCTGGAACACATTAGACGTAGCATATGTTCAGACTAGACTTTGTGAACATATTGTACTATTACATACTGCCTTGTAAAAATACTGTAATTTAATTTCAGAATTTTTAAAAATGCTTGCATAGTACGTAGGACATGTTATTACTAAGGGCGCTGATATATTTGAGCAGCTACTAATTTGAGAGTAATGATTACAAATAAATCATAATGTAGATGAGAAAATTGCTTACGCAAGGATTGGACTGAAGAAAGAAAAACTAAATCGAGCAGACAACGATTAGCTAAAGTCGAGAAAACATTTGCCATAGACTTTTTTATGTAAATTAAAGTGTATCAGGTTTCTTCGGGCTACAACAAAGGAAAGAACAAACTCCAAATACTACAAAGTACATTATAAACAAGAAACATTACTGTGCAATGAATGTGTCTTATTGCCATTAACCGACAACAGCAGAGTGCTTATGTAAGGTTCAAACACAAAAACCAAAATAACAATAAATAAAATATAGGTATTTTAATAAGATCCCACTAGAAATAAAGCTTCAGCTGAGGTGAAAAAATGAACAGACTACAAACTATATCTAACCAAAATCTGAAGCCAAGACACAGCCATTAACTAACTTTCAGAGTTAATCCAATGAAAGGTTTAACCAAACACTTTTCGGTTCTGGCCCAGGTCCACAACTATACAGATGAGAAGAGTTTTGACTTCATTAAGAGTGGGATTATGTGATTTATGGAGTGAGTCTGAAAAGACTCTGCAGAGGCAGCAGCAAAACCAACCTGCAACACTGGGATTGTTCCATATTTATGAAAGAGAACAATTATGTTCTTGTTTTGATAATAAAACCTGAAATATCGCCTCCACATTTCCCCAAGTCTCTCTGATACATGAACACACACTGCGTAAAAACTTTGGATTTTAAAATCCAATTTAGAACTATATATACATTAGTTAAAACAACCACAACGCTATTCTTCAGCCAAGTTTTCTTCGGGTATGTTAAACTGGGAATCGATCAGCACTTCCTACATGTTGTAGTTTTATTCATAAATGTTAGTGTTATATTTCTTTTTTAGTTCAAATATTTGGTTCAGGTGGGGGCCGCACAAGCTAAATGGAGTAGGTTTGATTTCGGCATTGATGACAAACCCTAAACCGAATCACGAACCGCACACGAACGTACGCTACGTGTACACGTATGATACTATAACCCAGCTAGCTGACGTGACCCAGGAAGAACAAATGTTAACAACTTACATTGGAGGTTGCAGATACATGTACTTCCTCTTGCTATTTAAAAGTAAAAGATATTTGCTAGTTGGCTGGGCACGAGGAAGTACGTCCTCTTGCCTAGCCAACTAGCAGGTTGCAAATAGCTTTTACGAGCCTGCGGGATCGACCAATCACATGTATGTTAACGCGGCAGAGCCAATTGGGAACGATATTTTGCTTAAAGGCGGGACTTTAAGCAGAGGCCGACTGTTAACCCTCTGTGTGCCATGACCATTGACCAAACACCAGCAGTTTATGTCGCTTACGGAAAGTAATACATTTTGTTATACGTTTTTTTCCCAATAAAAATATGTCTGTCCACACAGACCACCACCATATATTTTAACCCGTAAAATGTTTTTTAAATGATCTGTATCATAGCAATTAACGTTCTGGTCTTATTGTGACAAATAGAGCTTTTGCGATGTAGAGAGTTTTTTAACTCAAGAGGATGAAGAAAACTTAATGAAATAATTAATAATAATTAGTTTCTATTAATGGTGTTTCACCTCTTCAACCTAAGACTTTTGAGAGCTATGTCCAGAGGAGCAATAAAGGCACTGAGGTTGCACTGCAATAATAATTAACAAAAATATGTTTTGGTTTGTTGGATTGTTTTGGCCTGGTAAATTAAATTTCCATTTAATTTTTTTAAATTAAACCAGTTGCCTTTGTTTTCACCTTTGCAACATTCACTTCCTATATATCATCTATGGCCATACCATCAGATCTGGTGTCAATATCAGCAGAGCACTTTTTTGATTTTTACAACATAAAACTGTTTAATGAGGTGCTGCGTAAAAAGCAAAGCAGTAAAAGAACAAATGTGACCAATAATATCAAACACAATCTCCACGACACTCATTCTTGAGATACATTACTTGATAGGTTCAATTGGCATTAATGGCAGTTAAATATAGTAAATTAGGAGAAGGGGCTGGGCTTCATGTTGGCTCAGGAATCAGTCTTTGGGGTGGGAAGTGTAGATGGTGGTGGGGGGGTGTTTTGGGCACTGTTCTGTCACACAAACACAATGCTCATAGAGTTTAAAGTTTACAAAACATCAAAATTCTTTCTGCAATACTCATGCAATATACACGTTGACACGATTGAGACAACAATGTCAAGCTTTTTTCGTTTTTTTTTTTCTTTTTCTTTCAAGAGTTTTATGTTCAGCCTGGCAGTGAAAGGGTTAGCTCCAAGTCAGGTGGAGGATTTTTTTTTTCTTCCTTTCCTCATGTCTCCTGGCTGATGCATTCCAGCGAAAGTGACAGATTTTCATCCCTTCTGCCTCTTTCATCTGTGAGGGAGCTGAGAAGATACACCTTCAGGTGGAATCCACGATTAGAAGACGACGCTGTAACTGTTCAGTCTCAGCCGACTCCAAACATCCTAGCTATGTGTTACATCACATTTCACTAAATAAAGGCGCCTTGAGCAAAGTAAGCAGTAAAATAATGCATTTTTGTGACTCCTTTGTTCATCTACTGTACATGTAAAGCCACAGTAAGTTCCATTATAGATAGAGATATACAGTGTTGTGACACTGACCAAACTTGACAATCTGGTATGAAATGCTACAGACCGCAATGCGCAGGACAATTCTAGCATTTCTACAGCTACCACACTGTCGACACACAGGCTACTCACATAATCTGCTTGGTGCAGTTGCCTGGCAACGCAAGCAGCACAGTTTTTAGAGAATTTTTGAAGCAAAAAAAAAAAGAGAAAATATTACAAAGCTATGCAAAGAAGTATAAAACAATAAATAGAAAAAAACAAACACTAAAATTAACACAAGAGTTTCGTTTTCTGATACTGTGCAGGGTTTGTTTTAGAGTGTTTTACTTCAGCTTCACATTTCATTAATCTGGAGTGTGATTCTTATCAGATCAAGTCACCATTGTTCTTTTTCAATAAAGATGCTAATTCTGAGCCTTTTCAAATAATTTAACAGCAGAGTTGTCAAACTTAGAGAAATGTGCGAGAATTAATTTCAGTCATTTGACCACCTCCCCACCCCCCACAATGTGCCCTCTCAAAAGGACAATTCAACTGATTTAACACAGGGGGAGGGGAGTTGCCTGTTAGCCCATAAGGCCATATTCACAATCAGAATCAGAACCGAACCACGTCCTGTTCTCTCTTCAAAACTTTAAATACTGGTTGCTGCAGGAGACAGGGTGAAATTAGGGATGGAGTTGGCACTGGGATAAAAAATAATCCATACAGTGAAGTAGGAATATTCTCAGCAGGAGGGATGGGGATGCTGATTTTATTCTGCATCATTTCCGACCCCTCCCTCTCTCATTTTCTTTCTCTCAGTGTCTCTTTTGGGAGAGGAAGGGGACAGAAGAGAAGAACCGATCAGTCTCTCACTAAGGCCAGAGAGAGTCTGGCAGTGTTAAAGTGGCACCAGGACCTGTGTCTGTCTGCCAAGGCAAACTGATTGTGTAGGCAGGTGGGCCTAACACACACACGCACACACACATGCACACATAAACACTCACACAAACACAAGCATCCTTACTTAGGACACTGACTTGTGTGTCCTTGCTTTTGTCTCTGTGCAGCCTAGAAACCAAGTCATCAGCAGTGAAGTCAGTGGGCACAGAGCATCACTATGGAAACCAACATAGTGGGCCAGGCTGCGGCTGTTCTTGGATCAGTGCAGAGACTTTTTTTCTCTTGTTTTTTTTTGGCGTCCGCTCTGTGCCAGAGTCCATTATAGAGTTTATCTCTTAAATCTTCTTCCCGGATCGGCCAGTGATCTCATAGGCGCAATTTCTTCTCTTGTGAAAAATAGACACGTATTCAGTGGAAAAAGATGCTGCTATAATATAAAGTTTTTACAGGAAAGTAAAAAAAAAGAGAGAGAGAGTGAAGCTTGTGATACTCCCTTGTCCTTCAGCATGGCACAACGAGTGCAGACACACACACACAGACAGAACCAAAGACACACTTTTGTCAACGTAAAATAGGCAGCAGTCAGGGTAGGAATCTTTAAACTGATTGACTAACTCAACACAGCAGTGAACGACAGTAAGGTTCTGAAGGTGGAGTCCACATCTGCTCCCTGGCACCGTGTTGTTGGCTGGATCTGCAACGTGTGCGAGATAGGAGTGTGACGACCTGGCTTAGTCCACAGAGCCAGGGTGCAGGCTGAGTGCAGGAGGGTCCAAACAGGTGGGTGAGTAACTGAGGTGAGGTTCTTTAATCCACAACAGGGGGGCGCCGTTTTTGCCCTCCTGGCTCTTGCTGTTGTTGCGGCTCTTGAAGCGCACCAGCAGCAGGGCGATGAGGAGGATGATGAAGATGGGGAAGGGGTAGAAGAAGACAAAGTAGAAGAGGGAGTCGTTGGAGCACACCACCGACTTCACAGTCGACTCTGGTAGGAGACAAAGTGACAGTACAGGGTGGTTTGTGGTTTTGTTTTATTTTACATTATGTTCAATAAAACATTGACGTTACAGTCCTGGAGAAACCAGATTTTCTATCATTTCCCAGCCCAATCCCAGACAATTTTCAAGTTCTTTAAAAATATATTTTTATACTTTATTTCTCTTGTTTTTAAAAGAAATCAAATTTAAATCAGGTCTAACAAAACGATGACAAAATATATATGATTGGACAGAGGCTTGTAGAACATGACCATTGTTGATTTAAAATCTTCAGTGAAGCCGTTGTCCTTGACAATATCAATCAGTCTAACGCCCACAATCCCATGGACATTTGCGTCAGTCAGACTGTAGTACAGTAAGCTGAGGACCTGGTTATTTTCCTATCGACTGTGCGTTAGAACAAAGACAAGTGGAGGGTGGATCAGATTAATTTTATAAATTAATAAAAGGGATTAACGAGTCAATTCTGACAGCTCAAATTTAAAAATTCTGAACCTCGCAGTCACTATATAAAAATAATTACCCTTTAATCCAGATCTGGATTCCCTAATGCACAGAACGCACTTCCCTCTACAACTGATCGTTGTCTGATTGTTGACACTGGTGAATTAAAAAAAAATGGTTCCATTCTCAGTTCCTCTCTTAATGCCATTAATTACTTTTCTTTGATGCTCAACAGTGGGTAACATTCTCCGGCTCTGCTTTTCTAGTGTGGTTGTCGCCTTTGTCAGAAGTAATGTGACAGGCCTGTTCATCTGAGACACGGAGAGTATCAAAGAGCTCCTTAATTGGACTATTATTATTCTCTTGTTAAATGTACCATTAAGAGGAGACATCAGTATGAAGGAATACTGTATACAGTAGCCTAGAACAAATGTTAAAAGACACAGAAAAATGTATGTACAGTATGTGTATATATGTGTACGTGTCACATATATACATACATATACAAATATACATACATATACATACATATACATATATATATACATACATATACATATATATATATATATATACATATATATATATATATAGTCACTGCTACAATTAGCTTCGTACTAAGCAAAGCTTCAAAGATGAAATCAAAGTTACCTTGTTGCAGGACGTTGACAATAGTGAATCCAGAGTTATTAGTGGCCAAGCGGTACCATGCGTTACGTGGGTTGAGAAGCCACTCCTCCACGTGGCAGTAGTACCGTCCTGCGTCTGTCGGGCGGGCTCCCTGAATGGTCAGACTGTACTGGTCTGAGGCCGCTCTCTCAAACTGCAGTCGGGAATTTGGTCCCGACTCCTCCCTGGGGCTGCAGTTTCCATTTCCGAAAATGGCGTCGTGGCCAATGGAGAACATACACTCCCGTTCTCTAGCTTCACCTTCAGAATGTTCCACGTACCAGGAGACGGAGAAGCGGGAGTCTCGGGATGACTGGGAGGCGATGGTGCAGCCGAGCCGGATTGAACCAGTCTCTTCTATTGTCACGTTGGTCTGCGACTCCTCTACCTGCAGTCGAAGCTCTGTGAAGAATTGAAAAGATTAAGAAAGAACGTTACAAACTCCACTCAAAATAATCAATCAACAGCAGCTTTAACACCGCTTCACTACTGACTGTCTCTTAATTCTGGGGTTCCCAAACTTTTCCATTCCACGGTCGCTGAGGACCCTCTTTCCAAACCTGCAGACAAAGCTACAAAATATGTATAGAAACATCAACTTTAAGAATGTAATTCTTACTTAAATTTATTTGAGAAAAGAATATTAAAAAGATTTTTCATCCCAGGATTTTGAGACAGACAGTGTCATCGTCTGAGACTTGGCCTCAAGAGAAAACAAATAAGTAAAAGGTTTTATTTTGGTCATGGTCGTCAAAGAAGATAATTTTAGTAAGCGATGGACAAATCTCCACCATCAACTGTTTTTGTGATTTGTTCTACTTTAACACATTTCAACTAAACATAAAAATAGAACATTCAGGCAAAAACCCTCATACTGTGCAAACAAAGTAAAAAAAACAAAACACCCCACACAGTGCTGCCCAGAGCTACCAGCAGCCTTTGAGCTACAGCGAGGTGAGGTCCCATCCCAAAGGTAGTGAGGCCGTTTGTGGAGCCAAGTGACAGCGCTTTAGGGATGACCCAGTTCTGGTATAGTTAAAAAATGGCAGCATAAAAACCTGGCGCTCACAGTGAGTTTGGAAATGATCTCCTTTAAAGCAAAATGAGAAACAAAAAGGACAGCAGGAGAAGAGAGAAAAGCAGGAGCTGGCACACACCTCCGCCCATCTTTTCTCTCCACAGGCAGGTTTTTGGACACTGTCCTGGGTACATGCATTTTTAGTACCTTAATGAATACACACAATGTTTTTACTGCAAATTCTATTTGTCTTATGGATGTATAATGACTCGTTAAAATGTATATAGTTATGAAGAATACATTCTATCATCCTGATTGCTTCATAACAACAGAGGCCCCCTAAGCCCTCCACCGGCACTAGTGCAGTGTGGTTTTAAATCCAATTTAACATTGAATTAAACAATAATAGGAGGTCTTGTAAATAGTGTGCCACTGGTTTTATGTGAGAAATGTACCTTTGCTCTCAGTAAGAAACATAGCCTGGTGGAACGTGTATATAAAACACAGGAATATTCCTTGGCTTGTTGTGAATTTTTCCATCAGGATAATCCAGGATACTTAGTCTGATTGGGCCGTGAAGGTTGTGTAATTTCACACCCTCGTCCGGTTAGGTTCACTTCTATCTTGCAAACAGGCGGGACATCATGACACACCTACGATAGCTGCCTATTTGGAGTGTTATTACCTTAAAGGAAAGAAAACTGGCCAGAACAGAGAATGGAAATCCACCTTGGTCAGATGGCATTATCCCAAGAAAACATCACATTTATGTAATCTTCAGATTTTTTTTTACTTTGGTTTTCAAAACTCACTGTTTTATTGAAAAAGTCAAGTTCTGTGCTGCTGGCTACATTTTTTTCTACTACACTGCTCTCTTTCTGCATTTGATTTTTCTCATTGTTTCGTTAGATAGTCCATTTGCATTTCCCATTACAAGCGAACCATGATTCACTTGCAAGCAAACCTAGATCAACATCTCCAGACATCACGTGTTTGTTTGTTTTGTTGGTACACACCAGATTTTAGGTGAGCCTTCACACCTAACCAAACAAAGCAGACTATCCAGGAATACAAACTCTTGTCTGTTTAAACGAGACGGCCCTGGTGTGAAAGCAGCCGTACTTTCAAGTAGCTGAAACTGTAAGCACTTGGCTTCTGGAGAGATTTAATATCAAATATTTCATTTAGCAATTGGCACATGAGTGAAGCTGTAGAAAATGGGGGAAAATAATATCCATTAGTGCACATACTGGAGTTGAGGACAGTTCTGTTCCATCAATCTGGACCATGAGATCCTCAAAGAAAATAATTCTAAAACCCAGGTATGTATGCTTCACCGAGCTCTTATTTCAATTATTTTTCCAAAGAAATTACATAGTTGGTAATTGTCTTCTTCTTGTTTTTTTAAGCATCGTGTAACACATTTTACATTGCAAATAACTTAAACTTTAGCTCTGGCAAATTGTTGTGAAGTCTATAATTGCAGAGACTGTTGAGGACAATGGAGACGGTAATTAGTTTATAATAAAAAAAAGCAGAAAATGTCAAAACAGTAGTTTTGGAAACAGCAGCTGTAAATCCTATTATTATTTCTATTATTTTTTTGAGGATCACAGTTTTTCTTTGAACCTCACTTGACCCTCAGGCTCGTCATGTGACACTTGGCACGACTTCTGCATGTTTTTCAAACACCTGCAATCTGCTCGGGACATCCGTAAGGTCATTGAGCGACAGTGCCATGAGGAGCAGAGCACGGTTAAATTAAAAATCAAATTAATAAGCATTGTTAAAGAGGACAGAAGTCCTCACAGTCCACTCACCCGGTTGCTTGACGAGAACCTTCATGAACCCCGAGGACTCCTGGGAAAGCTGATACCACGCTCCATCTGGGTAAGTCAGCCACTCCTCCACTCGGCAGTAGTACGTCCCAGAGTCGCCGCTCTCGGCCCTGTTCAGGGTCAGCACGTAGGAACGAGGTGAGAGCCTCTCAGCCTGCAGCCGCCGCCGCAGTCTCTCCTCATCGGCGTACGCGCCGTACTCAAAGGCCCCAGAGTGTTCGATTCTCAGCAGGAGCTCGTCAGTCCCTGATCCGGCTGCATGTCTCACATACCAAGACACAGCGTGCTGGGAGGCCTGGCTGGTCTGGGAGGTGATGGTGCAATTGATCTTGACGCGACTGTCCTCTGGGAACGCCAGGGACTGATTGGTCTTCTGGACTCGCAGCTTGCTTACTGCAAAGAATAAAAAAAAACAGGTCAGATAGGAAAAAGACTAAACAAAGAGTCATTTCCTTGGGTGCAGCGGAAAAAAAAAAATGTAAGAGCCGGTGGCAGATACACTGTGCAGTTTCTGTTGTGCCTCAGACGACCTATTGCAGGGTTTATTTTGGTTGGCAGCAGGACGAAAAAAGTTAGCGGTGAGTGGGCGGGTACAGCAGGTAGCAAAAAGAAAAAATATGAAGTAAAGGAGGTTGAGATGTCAAGCAAATCAACAGTGAGATGGTTGTATGTTCGCTGGCAATGAACCAGCGGCGGTTATCAAGAAAGATACGAGAGAAAGGGCAACAAAAAGTCCCGTCTAGTCAGGGAAGGACAGGAGGAGATGAGAGAGGAAGGAGACGAGAGAGGAGTGACGGAGACGCTGTCACTGAATTGACTAGTGACAACGGTGGTGGGCGGGACTACCTGGTGTTAGTGATTTGTGAAGCCCTGACAACGGTGGTGGGCGGGACTACCTGCATGTGCAGGTGTAGCAGTCACAAGAAATCTGTTGTCACACACATAACAAAAATGCACACACTGGTGTTAGTGATTTGTGAAGCCATTACTATAACCTTACAAATACAAATACTTTAAACCCTTAAAAACATCCTCCCACACTAAAAATGTTTTGACAGTTCCATTTATAAAAATGTCCCCACAGGAATAGATATACCATGTATGTCTGTTCAAGGGACAAAAAAGGACTTTCAGTGATCTTACTAATTCACTGTAATGTACTCTAACAAAGTTGGGTCACAGGCAGAAGAAGAAAACCTTTATGAAATGAAGAACCTAAAGTAGGATTTGTATTTTGTATGCCCTAAAACATCCAATACAATGTGTAATATATGCAAAATTGGGTCAGCTACTTGTTGAAATCCTGAAATAAGATTATCTGGTACAAATGCCATGCAGCTCAAATTAAAGTACCTTAGCGTGCGTTCATGTTAATTTAAAAGCTTTTTGGCCGTTTTCCACTGTGATTTCACAGATCCAGGGAATCTCTATCACCAGCTCCCACCTCGTAAACCGTGACAATCACATTTGTAGCACTTCTAATGTTGGAACTCAGACAGCAGTCCAAGAACTGTTTGTTGGCTCAGCTCAATTTGGGGAACTAAATTCCCCTTACTGATCTTTGTAGCAGATATTTAAGTGCACAGAAAATATGACATCTTTCCAACCCATCCCACCAGAATGACCAAGAGGCAGAAAATAGCTAATAATGCACTGCTGTCAGCTAGCAATATAAAATAGTTAGTATCATACTTCTAGAGGTAATTTAAACCACAATGTTATTTTATATTTAAGTTGAAATTCTCGCTATTTTAATAATAAGTAAATTATTCAAAAAACAAGTACACGTTTTAAAATACCACTAGATAAAAAAACCTACATGATACAACACACTTTTTATAATTACCTGTTATCTTTCATTAATAAGGCCTAAAATAATATAAGCATCAATACCAAATAGAACTTTGAAATGTGTATTTACCAGAACCAGGCTTTTTAAAATTTCTTCAGTGATTAATCATGACAAATTACCATGTTAAAAAATTAATGCAGCCTGTAGGTGGCGGTAATGCAGAAGAAGAAGGTGCAAAGGCATAGGTTGAAAGAATAGTGAATGTACCACACCAAAAAGGTAGATACAATACAAACTTTTTTTGGTATTTCATTTATTTATTATTATATTATTTTTATTTTAATAAATTAATTGATTGATTTATTTTTCTGTCTCATTGTATGTCCCTCACTTGTATGTTTTCTTGTTTAAGTTCATGTCTGTTATAGGTGTCAAGCAAAATTTATATTTTCGTATTTACATTAAAAAACACATACGAAGCCTAATTATTGATACGTTTGTTAAGTTCCACCACTAACAGATACAAACAACACTCAATCAATCGAACAACTGTGAAGCCCCTGGGGTGATGGACCCTCTCTCCTTTTTTTTAGAACCAAAATTAACTTTCAAAGACGTAAAGAAGATCTAAAGATAAGGGGCAAGTGCCTCCACAGACCACCAACAGATTTGTGTTTTTTTTAACACTTCTACAACTGAGACATCTTTACTGACGCAGGTTTGAAAAAGGACAAATATGACGCGCACGCTGCCTTTGATTGCACACTGTTGTTAAAAG